TATATATATATAGTTTTTTTACAGGGTCTCGCTATGCGGTTGAGGCTGGCCTTGAGCTCACTTTGTGGCCCAGGCTGGCCTTGAACTTGCAGTGATCGTCCTGCCTCAGCCTCCCAAGTGCTGGGATTACAGGCATGTGCCACATACCTGGTTTGTATAGCAACATATTATACATTTACTTGAATATTAGTTTAGAGTCTTTTTTTTTTTGTACCGGGAATCGAAATCAAGACCTTGTGCTGGCCAGACAGGCGCTTATGCCACTAAGCTATATCTCCGGTCCTTTGAATATTAGTTTAATGACTGTGTCAGGAACCCAGGTGAAGTCTGTAGTCTATTTTCTGCTGGCAAAGGCAAAGGAACCCAAACAGCACTAACTCTTCCAGCTCTGACTTCCAGCTGAGACACCATTTCCATGTCTTCCTTTGACAAACTTCCTTTGACACCTCCATACACACTAACAAGCTCATAGCCTGCTCTCAGATATATTCAGTGGAATTACCTTTACTGGAAACTACAGTTCAATAAGAAAAGACAACTCCAAATTCTGCTTACACTTACGGTTTCAAGGGGTTGGGGGCAGGTGCTGGTATGGGCAGGGGTAGGCATAGAAGGAGCTAAGTGAATTGTTTATAGAGTAAAAAGAATATGAGAAAAACAGAAGTCATCTTCATATTTTGAAAACTGTTTCTCAAAGCTGAATATGGAAAAAAGTTGAATATAGTGTGATTCCTTTTCTATAAGATATTTTCAACAAACTCAACAGTCTACCTATATGCCTCAATTTGAGAAATAGATTTAATAAGCTAAAATTTTATTTTGTAAGAAAATCTTTCACTTATGATAATTTCTACTTAAAATAATCCCCTCTTTTCTTTGGCAGTACTGGAGATTGAACCCAGGGCCTTGCACATGCTAGGCAAGAGCTCTACTACTGAGCTATACTTTTGGCTCTTTTTAAAAAAAAAAAAACACAGTCTTATTAAGTTGCCCAGGCTGGCTGGGCGTGGTGGCACACACCTGTAATCCCAGCACTTGAGAGGCTGAGGCAGGAGGATCCTTGCGAGTTCGAGAGCAGCCTGGGCTACAAAGTGAGCTCACCGCCGGCCTGAACTGCACAGCAAGACCCTGTCTCAAAAAGACCAAAAAAAAAGTTGCCCAGGCTGGCAGTGAATCTGTAATCCTCATGCCTCAGCCGCCTGAGTAGCTGGGTTTATAGGCATGCACTACCATGCTTGGTTAAAAAAGTTATCAAAAACCGAAACAAAATTAGTTTTAGATCAGTGACCTTCAAGAATACATCCACCAATTTCTAAGTCATCAAAAGATTTCCAGTTTCAAAAATATTGGATATGAAAATTGTTCTTATATTAAAGTTAGGGCTTTAATCTATTTCTACACTCTTTTCCAACCATATTCCATCTGTAAAGTAACTTACTTTTATAGCCAGAAATATACCACTGAAAACAAAAACAAAGATTTCATTTCAGAAACTATTTCTTTTTTCCTAACACCAAACACCCGTGACACCTACAGAAGGCTTTAAGGGTTCAACAAGAACGCTCCGAGTCTATCATTGATGTCTACTCCTTCACCAAGAGAGCCATCACCTTTACCTTGGTGTTTTCTTCGCTTTGACGAAGGCTCATCTCCCTCTGCGTTCATGACGTAACTAGACAGATGAATCAAGGATGTCTGGTTCAGGTGGTCAGCTCTCCAGTTACAGTATGGAAACTGCGTGCTAGACGCAAACAAACAAGGTGGCCTCCACTTCAGTGAGAAATGCCTGCTACTGAAGTACGGGTAGGGAGCCCGAGAGTAGTGTCCCGGCCACCTCATACAACTAGAAATATGTCTGTTCCAGCAACACCGCTGCAGATTCTCCCACGGTGTAGTCCAATCTCCGCCCAGACTCTTGGGGTGATGGGGAAACATAGAGTATCTAAAAGAAATAAATACACTCCTTGAGGCACCACTTTTGGTCCAACTATAGTACACAAAATCTAGATCCATTTCCTCGAGGGAAGAGAACTCTGATACTTCAAAATCTGACTTCGAAATCTCCGACGGACCAAGGGAAACCACTCAATCCTCTCCCCCTAAACACTAAATGGTATTCTAAATACTCTACAGGAAAATGCCTCCAAAGCTCCCAAACGCCACCTACTCCTCAGAATGTCCACAGCCCCGCGGAGATGTTAACCAACCATCCAACAAGTATTCACAGTAGCTTTGTAGCACCAAAACTCCATGGAAAACTATAATCCACAGCAAACACAACACTTAAATGTGGAACACACACCAGGCTGAAATGAAAGCAAATCTCTCCTCTAACCCGGGTCGGCAATAAAAATGTTTCTGAACCGTTTTCTTCTTCTAAGATTAGATTTTCCCCTAACACTTGTAACAAGACAAAGTCTATCACAACTTCTGAGAACTACTTCCCTTTTTAACCATTGGGTGGACGCTTCTTTCTTAAAGCATATTTCTTCTTAGGGTAATGAAAGAGGGTAGGGATTACTTACTAGGAATTTAACACTCCACATCCAACACCATCAATTTACCTAGCATCCAAAGTACCTCCAGAATAGTGCTAAGATTCTTTTTAATGGCTATGTGGCTACCAGGCTGTCACAAACACTGCCACTGAAGCGCCATTTCCAGCTACTATTTTGGCAAAATGTGAGGACTCAGAGAAGGATTTCCTAACCTCTCCTCTGGAATTCATTACATCTCCAAATGGTGTCGATAATGTCCATTTCTATCACTGACAGGATTGTGTTAAATTGCAAATACTGTTCTCTGACTTTTCCGTATTATTTTTCATTCTGACAGCGTTTAATTTTTTTTTTTAATTTCTTTGCACTTTGGGCTCAAACGGTTCTCTAAAAACAATGTAATCGTTATCCTTTAAAGGCATGACATGGGCACTCTGTCCTGCTTTGTGACCATTCTGAATGCCATCGGGCTTTGAGCTCACGGTCCGTGCCTTTTCTATCCCAATAAGCTACCACACCGAAATGTGAAACTTCGACTACCATATTGAAATGTACAACTAGCAAATACGACAGAACTAACACTTATTTTCTCTGCGCTCCTTCGGGGCCACGATCTCATTTACTTTCCTTCTGGGCGCTCCTCAAGTGCCTAGCACAGTGCCGGGCACACAGCGGGTACTCAGGACACCCTGGAGCCCTCAGCTGCCCCCCGCCCAGGCCCGCGGGCGTCCACAGCCGATCCCCTCGCCTCGGGCAGCAGCGCGGTGCTCCCACCCGCGGGCTGCGCAACTCATGCAATTTAACCTTCTGGTTTTTGGCATTGAAGAACTTGAAAGTTTATTGGGGGGAAACACCAAAGCCAAGATTTTGCGGGTACTATTCAGGCCGATGTTAACGCAGGTAGCACGAAGTGCTTTTTTTGTTGTTCCCCCCCCTCTGAAAGTGAGGCAATTAAGGAAAGCCAGCCCAAGCACCCGCTCGGCCGCCACAGGCGCTCGGGGGTCGCCGCGGCGGGAGCGGGGGCGC